TACCATGTCAGGTTGACCTCCACGCAGTTCCTTGTTGACACCATCGTGATAAATTCACGATGAATTTGACACGATGAGCTATCTGACCTGACCTCATGTTCATCTTATCATCCTCCACTGGTGCCTCGCCAAAGTAAACCGTTAGCACAGGCGGGAACACCATTCCATTATCATCCATAAGAAAAACCCCCGAACATTCAATAACCTCATGATTACTGCCGCCAACGCACAATACATAGAATTTTCATTCACAACACAAAATAATAATAAATAAGTACTAGCTGTCCCGGCAAACGTTGTTTTGCCTTAAAAAAAAATTTAGGTGTGGACTAACATGTAGGAGGATGAAAAATAGATGTTGGCCGATTCTCAGACCTACTCAATACATTTATAAAATTTCATGAGAATCAGTCAAGCCGTTTCGGAGGAGTATGGGAACGAAAACTGTGACAAGAGAATTTTATATATAAGATATTGTTTTGTTTATATCTATCTAGTTTAGAATGCGACATCTTATTTTTTCTTTTATTTTCTTCCTTTCTCCTACTTTTGAAAAGAATATTCGAATGTACCTATGAAACCAAATAATTTATTATAAAAAATCGCTCTTCTCTTTTCACTTAGCCGGGTTTTAAAGGCGTTCGCGTTTCACGTTCATTCGTTGCACGAATTACAATGGATCCATCTATCAAGATTGGAATTTCAAGCGTATTTTTATATAGAACTTGCGTAAAAGTCAAATAGAGACGAATTTAAATATTATATTTGAAACAGTTTAATTGACGTTTTTTATTATTAATGTCGTATATTGTACCTAGGGTTGCCAACCCTAGTGCGAACCCCGGACTTCGGCCCGCGGCACCTCGAGGTATACCGTATGGTTTTTTAGTGGGTACGAGTCCCACACACCACCTCGCCATCCCTCCAACGCAGCGGGGTGACGGTCTTGTTGAAGATTTTTCCACACGATAAAAAAAAAAAGATTTGCCAACCATACTTTATAATAACGTATCCTACTTTATTTTGGTAATTATACTTTATAATTTTACATATAAATACTATATCTACCTATAACCTTTACTATGATGCGTATAACAAAATACTCGTTATGGGTACTCAACGATTTATAATTACGAACGAATTACTGAACGAAATGTTAGATGTCAATTGTGAGTTGTGATATTTGTCACAGCTCTAGTGTTAAAAGCACACAAAAATACGTTTTTAAAGCAATAGAAACATAATTAGAAATTTATTTATTTATTTATTTACTTACACAACTATTATTACAGGCCTAAGCCCAATACAATAGTATATCTAGTTCTATATTATACATGTTCAAATTATTGTTTCACTGAGGCCTAGCTAGCACTCCGCCATATAGCTGATGGTATCGGATTCTATTCGTAGCCCGATACACATATTTCTATTCATGAGTATGACTGTTCCTATATTTAGTTGTAATGAATATTTTCTATATGTATATTATGTGTGCATTTTCAAAAACAATATATTTGAGTATTATTTCTATACTTCATTACCATCATTAAATTGGTTAAAAACAAAGTTGAGGTCGTTGTCTCACCGCCCCTATGTTTGCTTCAATCTTTAAAACTACGCAACGGACTTTGAATTTTTTTATAGATAGAGTGATTCTAGAGGAAAGTTTATATGTATAATACATGTACACCCGTGCGAAGTACCAAGTTAGGTACCTATAAAACCAGCTCTTAGGACTGTGTGTAAAAAAAATATTAAGTCCCTGTACTTTACAGTTCTGCATTTGAAAAGTCATCGTCTAAAAATGATATCTCTGATATATCACATAATCTGAGGGCTGAAGGTTGTACCGTACTCAATAATTTCACTGGCATATTCGAACCGGAATATGCTTATAAAGTTAACTGCGTCATAATTACATGGAATTCCTTTATTGTTCAGAGTTAAAGTACACATGATACATATGTATGATACAAATTTAAAATATTTTTGATTAATAAACTACTGCCTAAAATATTTATCGCCTGAATGTTACATTTCTCGCATCTCTTGTTTCTTTTCTTTTTTAATTACATATATTACTGTTTTATTTTAAGTAACAGATTCATTTTTATTCTTCATATTGTTATTATTCTTATTACTATATTTTTAAATACATTGTTTAAATTTTTAAGTAGGTATATTATTCTTAGATATCGGTATAATAGTTACATATAAATAAAATTGGAGTGTCTGTTTGTAATATTGAAATAACCGTTTTTACTACATGCATATGAATATATATACGGTACATATACCAAAATAACATTTTTTATAATTTTTGTCTGTCTGTCTGTCGGTTTGTTTGTTCCGGCTAATCTCTGAAATGGTTGGACCGATTTTGATAGAACTTTTTTTGGCAGGTAGCTGATGTAATTATAAGTAACTTAGGCTACTTTTATTTTAGAAAATAAAGTTAATTTCCACGCGGACGAAGTCGCGGGAACAGTTAGTAGTTATTATAATAGTTACATCTATATATTTATATATATATAGTTTTTATATGTATTGATGTTACCTATATTTATCTTTTTACTTGTAATTAGGTACATTTATACAAGATAACATAACTGTTGTATGAAAATTTTGCGACTAACTTATCAAGGCTCTTATTAAGATAAAAGTATTATATAATAAGCTATTTTGTGTTGTTGCGGAGCACACATGATTTAAGTTAGTCACTAACTTGGTTTTTCTGCTTATGTTTGTTTTACTTTTTGTATATTGCTATTACGTGCTGCAAATACAGATGAATCGTTTATCTATCTATCCATCATATATTTTTATGTATGTATTGAATGTTAAAACGTATGTAATGTAGTCGTTAGGCACATTGCTGATCGAACAGTTAGAACACACCCAATAGCTGTATAGGTTTATTCCCTAGCTTACAATATTCACGCATTAGATGAACATAGAAATTCCATTTGCTTTGGCGGGAAACTTGACATGTCATGGCTATTTTACCCTACAAACATTTTTGAAACAATACCTACATATACTTTTATTGGACACTTTATTAACCTAGTTTACAGAAGGTTGTATTATTATATATTAATTATGTTACACAATTGCAGGCATATTTTCAAAAGATTTATAAAATTATTTACTTCTGTATTTTGTGTGTGTTGCATAGTTGCGTTCCGTGAGTTGCAAATTTTAATTTCACTCAAGTCTGAAGGCACTACCGAATCCCGGTACAGAACGTAGTGATTTCGATATATGAATCGTATCTCGTATGAATGGGTAAGGGAATTTCGTATATCTATAAATCATTAACTAAATTAACAAGTGAGATACATTCGAAAAACTAGATACTGCGTTACTACAAGTACAATAATTACAATTAACTTACATAGCTGGCACGCCTGTTATATCATAAATGTAATAGTTACTCAGTGAGAAAGTCATAGATAAATGTATTAAAAGAACATTAATAATTCCACAATATTCTGCAGTAGAATTTGAAAATTTCATATTATTGTGACGTTGTAACAGAATTACAAAAATCATTCGAAATTTCAAAGACATAGTACGATATTATTTTATTATCTACAAATATTACTAAAGTGAGTACAAAATTAAGCAGGTACCTACTCTCTTTGTAGTCTGGAAGACATTTAAATTATTACTCTATTCCCTTTTTTGAGATCATAAAAATTGCCGTAGATATCTAAGTTATTACATCTGGGAATGACAACACTACAAATGGGATAAACTTTGTAATACGCGCATTCGTTGAACAAAACATTACCTAGATACATCTACATAAAGCATTATTGTCTTAATGGCACTAGAAACAAGGTTTATATTCATTTTGTTTTTGTTATTTAATAAATAATTGAACTCTCAACTTTGTTCAAGTGGAATTCACTTGTAGAAAGAAAGAAAAGAAAAATAGGTACACACACGATTAATATTAAAACATACTAGAAACTAAATAATGATGATAAGAGAGGTGGAATGTCTAATAAAGATTTTCTTATGAATAAATATATGTACGTTTATGTTGAGTCCCCACTCATTGTAATTTCCAATTAGTAGGGATTCAACATATAATGCTTTGCAACATATTGTGATAACAACGTCAAGTCTGGGCAATCTTCGGATTATTTTATATTAGGTACTTACTTTATAAAAATGTTCGTACTAATAAATACTTAACCAAAATATTACTCAACGTTAGTCGCATACACTAAGCTGAAAACCAATAATATTATTCATAATAGTAAACAAATTTATCAAAAGGAACCATAATTTTTCTAGAATAAAATTTTTTTTTAGAAAACTTTCATACAAAGTGAGGTGATTAATTTGTTATGAAAAGTTTAAAATTTTTTTTACCTGAGAATATTACGAATTATATTATTATATTAGGAACGGCAAACAACTGACGTTTAACCTGGTAATAAGCGATAAACGACTCCTGTAACTATGGATATTAAGATATCATGTGACGCCTGTAATACCACTAATGCATTACAATTGCGGAGGACTAAGATGGCATGCTTCTTATAAGTAAATTCACATGCCTTTTAATCGAGACACACATTACAAAGCAAGCTATTTTGCAGCTGATAGTTCCTACAAAGTTCCTAGAGTTCCTACAAAATTCGCCACATTTTACTTGGTGAAGCTGTATAAAAATTGTGAATATTGCGTATATGCATAAATTAAATTCATCATATTCATATGAAGCAATATCCACTCATTACCGAGATCTGAGAAGTCTTAGTTTCATGTATTCATGACAAAGCTGAAATGTATAGTAGGTAGATATTCCAAATACTTCGTATGCGTGTTCTACACTAAGCGAGTAATCACTATGTTTAGTGATAACACTGTGGACTCTATGGATATATCAATCAAGACGTCAGCAAACTATGACTGACAGCTTTGACATTGACAATTTGACATTGTTTATAATTTACAAGCTTATGTCATTGGCTGTGGTTCTGACGTGTTTTCAACAATTTTATTAACTTATTTACTATCAATTAATACACTGTATATAAAAAATAGTTCACTAGTACCGTAATAGTTACGAGTACAAATTCTTTAATATGTTAAAAGCTGTGATACTGATTGGGGGGCCGCAAAAAGGTAAGTCTGACTGTACCGGTGTTAAAACAATGATAAGAACTAAAATTTCAATAACTTTTACGTTTAAATAGTACTATTTAGTTTCTTAATTCTATATTTCCATACTTATTACGTGTTATATAGTATGTATAACTGGTGTATCATATTAAATAAAATTGTAGTATAGGTTAGAAATAATCTATGTAAGTACAGCAAAAAATACATTTAAACAAGTCAGTTACATCGTAATCGTGTGAATCACTTTTAGATAACAGAATATCATTTCCTTTACCCTATTTAATTATTTTTGAAAATTATATTAAAAGTAGGAAACACTATTAATAAAAAAAAGATAATTCAAAATTGGTTCGCAATTATGTTAAGATATCTCAATACCTACACAATAAAAACAAAACTGGAGGGTAGGGAAAAAAATATTATAAAATGTCCCACATGAATGATTTTTAATAGTTGTTGGCAGCCATTTAAAATAAAGTAGAAGAATATTTTTGTTTTGTTTTAAAAACAACTACTTTGTAAGTGAGAATATTAATAAAAAATACAAAGCAATGACATTGATGAAATATTCATATTATATTTGTTATTATAGACACACCTGTCTTCCAAACCCAGTTTACTTTTAATATAATATCTAAAATGTATTTATTTATTATTACAGGCACCCGTTTCCGACCTCTGTCACTCGACACTCCCAAACCACTGTTCCCCATTGCTGGAGTGCCATTAATCCAACATCACATTGAGGCATGTGCAAAATTAGAAGAATGCAAGGAAATATTAATCATTGGATCATACACAAGTGCTCATATGTCACAGTTTTTGAGCGACATGCAGAAAGAATTCCATGTTATTATCAGGCAAGTAACATTCTTTTATGTACCTGGATAAGTAAACAGGGGATGGTCCGTCTAATGAAAAGTGCCAATCATCCCATAAATATATGAACATCATTCAAACGTCAAATTGTAGCACATATGGTGCAAGATTCTTACCTTGCTGTAACAGTTTTTCAATTAAAACTAAATACAGCAATACTAAAAACACTATTACAGCAAGTTAAGGAAGTCTTTTAAGAAGGAAGTTAAGTCTTTTTTCACTGTATACCCTCAAAACTTAATTAAACTTAATTTATATGACTTCTGTTAATGTTGTTTGAAATAAATTCTTAACATAATGTGACAACCATGTATGATGATGATGATGATGATGATGATGATATGTCATGATCTCAAATAATGAGATGAAGACTTTACTGTTATTTCTATACTAGCCGTGCCCACGGTTTCTTCCTCATGAAATTTATAGCCTATATATGTTAATCTCATGTATAAGCTATATTACTATAAAGTTTCATCAAAATCCGTTCAGTAGGTTTTGCGTGAAAGCGTAACAAACATCCATACTCACAAACTTTCGCGTTTATAATATTAACTAGCTACCCACCCCGGCTTTGCACGGGTGTACATGTATTATACATATAAACCTTCCTCTTGAATCACTCTATCTGTTGAAAAATAACGCTTCAAATCCGATGCGTACTTTTAAAGATTTAAGCATGTGGCAACTAATATGTTGTCGAATGGCAACAGAGACATGAACTCTTTATTAGGTTAGCATCTGTACCATTTAAATTCCCTGCCGTATAACTACATGCACAACGGCCCGAATGAGAGGCCAATTGGGAGGGAAAATGGAGTCCAACCTACACTACTTCCCTGCCGTATCTCTCCCTATATTCAAAAGACAACTTTCAAACAAACTTTGCAGCTGGCTGAAGTGAATGAGATAGAGTGGTGTTTCCCAATTAGTGGTAATTGCCAGTTCCTGCATACCCCCAGGAGTATGTGAGTGCATCAAGGAGTATGTGTGGCTATCAGTAAAACAAACATACACACTCACAAACTTTGACATTGGTAATATTAGTGCGATTGCTATAATAAGGGGTTTGCAAGGTTTGAGGTCTTCTTTGAAGTGGTATGCAGCAAAAACTATTTGGGAACCACTGAGATAGAATATACAATGCAGATTTTGTTCAGTAATGTAGTATCGTAAGGTATAGTATAAGTGTGTCTTTGATAATTACACTCTCACACTATATTATTTCATTGCAGATATTTACAAGAATTCGCACCTCTGGGCACTGGAGGAGCTCTCTATCACTTTAGGGATCAAATCCGAGCCGGCAATCCCTCTGCATTCTTCTTGCTGAATGGAGATGTTTGCGCTGATTTCGGCCTGAAGGAGTTATGGAAATTCCATAGTGAAAGATCAGATGCTCTTGTTAGTATTTAAAAATATATCTCTCATAGAGAAGTATTGTTAGGCAATGTCGGCACATGTGTAGGTAGTACTGTAGCCCGTTCTCGCCCCCCCCCCTCCTACCCTCTTCGGGGGAAAGGGATTGTTAGTAATGGAGGAGAGTAGCCACAATGCTAGCATGTCAGGTTATCCTGCATTTCGATAGAAACCATTGTGCCAAATATATAATAATAATATTGATGGATCGTAAATCGATAAAATAATTAAAATAACTTGGAAGATTGTAGCGTGCCGTGCTGTATTCAACGACCAACTGCCGCCGGCCTCCCGTTGCCCAACCGCTACCGGGGTATCCGTTGCTTAGCAACGAGCCAACAGCGTGAGGCTACCGGCGGGTGCGCCGCTATATATATATCTACTAATAATAAGTGAAAAATTGCCATTTGCGAGTATGGGCTATCTGACTGAGTTCATGCTCATTTTATCATCCTCCACTGATATTAAGTTAGCGCCGGCAGGTCATTCCATAATAGTACATAAAAAAGTGAGTAGCACCGAATATAAGATGGATGCAATGTGTGAAGGATGATATGTATAAAAGGGGAGTAAGTTTCACAAATCTTTATCAGTATGATGACTGATAGAGATTTGTGAAAAAAGATGATGATGATGATGATGATATGTCATGATCCCACATGAGATGAAGACTTTACTTTTATTTCTATACTAGCCGTGCCCGCGGTTTCTTCCCCGTGAAATTTATAGCCTATATGTTAGTCTCATGTATAAGCTATATTACTATAAAGTTTCATCAAAATCCGTTCAGTAGGTTTTGCGTGAAAGAGTAACAAACTTCCATACTCACAAACTTTCGCGTTTAGAATATTAACTAGCTACGCACCCCGGCTTCGCACGGGTGTACATGTATTATACATATAAACCTTCCTCTTGAATCACTCTATCTGTTTAAAAATAACGCTTCAAAATCCGTTGCATACTTTCAAAGATTTAAGCATACATAGGGATGGACAGACAGTAACAGTGCCTTTGTTTTATACTATGTAATAATGATAATGATAAGATTTTTATGTATTCCACCACCAGTTGACAATAATGGGCACTGAGGCCACACGGCAGCAGTCAGTCCACTACGGCTGCATGGTCTGCGACCCGACCACGAGGGCTGTCACTCATTACGTCGAGAAGCCTAACAGTTATGTGTCCACGCTCATTAATTGCGGTGTCTACGTGTGTTCACTACAAGTATTCCATACTATGGCTGATGCTTTTCAGAAGAAACAGGATGGATTTTACAGGTAACTAGTACTATACAAAAATTGGATTCATGAGTATGATTGTTTGTGTCGGTCTGGGTGTTTTCTTTATATAATACTAGCTGTCCCGGCAAACGTTGTTTTGCCATATAAATTAATAACGCTATAAAAAAATAGAGGTTGATGATAGAAGAGTGAAAATTTAGGATTGTATGTATTTTTGTGTGTTGTATCATAAAACTGTAACACGAGAATTTTATATATAAGATGTATGTATTCACGAAAAAAAATCGATATATTTATCAGTTATCTAGTACCCGTAACACAAGCTCTAGCTAGCTTAACTTGGGACTAAATGGCGCTGTGTGAATTGTCCTGAGATTATTATTATTATTATATATATTTTCATTCAAATTCAAATTCAAATTCAAAATATCTTTATTCATGTAGGTCTATTACAGACTCTTATGATATGTCAAATCTACCGTCAGTTCGGAATGATATCGAGATGAGAAGAACTGACAAGAAACTCAGCTCGTAATTTTTTTCAAATAATAGTGGAACATGTTTATGATAAATACAGTTATTAAAATTCAAATTTGGGAGAATAGAGTGACCACCAGCATATGCTATCGCAAAGAACAAAAAATTTAATCAGTGTTCACAACCTGAACAGACCAGTTCCCACAAGCAGCACCCGTTCACGAGTATGACGTATGAGCCAGCCATCATTGCACTCAACCATATTAGAGGGAGCACATCGACCCGGCCCACTACGCCGCCACAAGTTTGAACTTTATAGCGAGCATGACTGTTTCAGGTTACTCCACTACGTCAATTATATTATTTACAGCATAGGCTGTACCGATCACAGTTTTCACCCATTACAATATTAAATTTACATTATTTAATTTACAATATGTCATTACAAAATTTATAATAAGTTTCTTTATTGTTATTACATTATCCATGTCATTTTAGCATTAATCTTATATTAATACGAAGCAAAAACTTTGTACCGATTTTTTCGAAAATTACGCGGATAGACGAGTATGGAATTTTGTACACTTATAGTTTACTACCTTTTACCCGTGTCTTCGCTCGCATTGAATCCATTAAATAAGTATAATCGATTAATAACTTAATTATTGGCTGCTAGATGGCGCTGAAGTAGGAAAATGTTGATATTTTATTTGTTGTTTTTATAAAAAATAATTGTTGTAAAGTAAAAATTATCGTATGTTCATTTGAATATCTCCAAGAACATGTGTACAAAATTTCATGATGATCGGCTCAGTAGTTTTTGCGTGAAACCGTAACAAACAACGCTACTTTCACATTTATAGTAATAGTAAGTCTATAACCTTAGATGAAGTACACAATGTAATAGTTTTTTTAATGACGCATAAAAAATACATTAAATCAATAAAAAAAATATTACACACACTACACGACTGATAATAAAACATCAATGTCAAGTCTGTTATCAAAGTTATCTATATTATATATTATTACGTGAAGCAAGTATTTTACGTGAAAAACTTTCATGATGTTGAAACTTATAATTTAAACTAGCTGTACCCGCGACTTCGTCCGCGTAAAATAGTGACCTTGACCAAATAATGAAAAAAATATTTAATGACCTAACCCAATAAAAGCCAAATGAAAAAGTTTCATCATTTCATCTTCAAAAATGACGACACTTCCATACATAACTCTTTCAACCCCTTGTAACCGTTCTATCGCATTCAAAAGTAGCCTATGTCCTTTCTTAGGGTCTAGACTAACACTGTAGGAAATTTCATATAAATCGGTTCAGTAGTTTTAGTGTGTAAGTGAGGCTGACAGACAGACAGATAAAGTTACTTTCACAGTTATAATATTAGTGGGGTATTTTATAAACTAACACAAAAAAGCCAATGGAAAAAGTTTCATAGATCTGGCTTCAAAAATGACGAATTTACCTAATATCTTTCATCCCCTAATTTATTTTACCCCCTTAATTGTAATTTTTTGCAAACTTTGAATGTCATATTCATTTATATTTAATCAACAGCCTCAGAAATAAGTTTCAAGTTTCTAGCTTCAAAAATGACGATTCTTTCATCCCCAATTTCAACCCCTTACAACCCTTATTTCGCATTAAAAAGTATCCTATGTCCTTTCTCAGGGTCTAGACTATCTGTGTACCAAATTTCATTTATATCGGTTCAGTAGTTTTCGCGTGAAAGCGAGACAGACAGACAGACAGAGTTACTTTCGCATTTATATTATTAGTAAGGAAGTAAGGATTAATTATGATTTGGCGACCACTAGTTTATTTAATTACACGGTGCCATAATAATAGAAATAAATTTAATAAAAAATTTTGCTAATGACTACTATGAAATAAGTGTGCTTTTATATATTTCCGCCTTAACAGTAAACAGTAACCTTCCGCCATGACACGTACTTAAATTGAACCTACAGGTTTGCCAACATGGCACGGCTACGGTTAGCGTTAAATCGGCCAATAACGCGTTTACAAAACGCTGCAAACTAACGTGAATTTAGCGTCAAATCATTCCACCAGTCTGAACAAATTGTGGAATTAAATTTTGACTTCGGCCGTTTGCTCTTCCGCTATTCTAAAAGTTTTTAATATTTGTTAATTAGTGAATAAAATATTGTTTTAACCTAATAAAAACAGTAACTATGCTCGAAATAAACTTAGTTACTGACAATGGGCTTGTAAAAGAGGAATTAACAACACGTTCACGATGTCAGCTTTCCATGACGCGTCATGTTCTGTGTTAGTTGAAAAAAGTAAAATTATATCTCAGCATTTAAGGAATATGTGAAGCTCAATAAAGAAATGTTTTCCAAGAAGTTAAATATATCGATACTTTAGACAGGTTGAACGTTGATCGACAAACTAATTAACCACAAAAAATGAAGTCACGTGGAATTAAAAAATGTTTCTAATGTCTCGTGGGCACAGACTTAATTGCGCAACATTGAGAATACATATACTGGTAAATATTGTAAGTACAGTTTATAACTATAATTATGCCAGTAAATACATAATAATCCCAACCTTCATATTGTACAACTGCATTATTTATTTAATTTCTAAAGTGGTGAATCATTAGATCTTATAAAGAAGTTACTTATATGTAAAGAAAGTTGCACAGAATTTTATGTATTTTTAATAGATAATATAAATTTTAATAGATAATAACTATCTTATTAGGAATGACCCGCAGTTACTCGATTTTCTAAATATGAACCTGCAACATATTAAATAAGTAACTGCAAATAGGCTTCATCCAAACGCGTATGGAATGCAATTCTCTATTAATGTGGATTAACTTTATTCCTTGCAATATATGGTATATTGGTCAGGTTGTACTCCATGCGGTTCCCCCTGGAAACTTAGAGCAGGTAGGTGCACCATATCATTGTCATCCATTAAAAAAAATCTTCCTTGGCAGGTTCTGTAAGAGCAAATTAGTTAAGGTTTCCTTTTTGGTTTTAAACGCTTAAAAATTTTGAGTGCTATAAAGTTGCCAAGGAGCAGTCATATAGCATATGGTATATCAATAGCTATTGGGTTTGCTAATGCCTCAAGCACAACAGTTATGAGCTTTTGCATATGTGTATATATACTTGATTTATTATGGAGTTAATGCAGCTTGCCGTTTAATATGCCCAAAATATTATGTTAAAGTTTGACAGCCTCGGTGGTCTACGGGTTTAACACTCTGCCTTACTTCCTATGGTTGTTGGTTTGATTCCACATAGCACAAACATTTGTATTTGTGAGTATGATCAATCGTCTAGGTGTTTTCTATGTTTATTATGTATTTTTTTAAGAAAAAATAATTATCTATGTATTTGTATCAGTTATCACACCACACCTATAACACAAGTTTTAGCTAGCTTAACTTGGGTTTAGATGGTGCTGTGTGAATTGCCCTGAGATTATTATTATTATATCAATATACTCTACTCTTCTGCTTGCAAAGTTAAAGTACATACAAAGTTTATGTACATGAAGCTGTGACTAAAATTAAGTGTACAGAATGTGATTTTGTTCACTGATGCTGAAATAGTCCGTGCATGGGTTGGCTTTAAAATGTAGCTTAAGGCAAATAGGATCCAGTTTAGGTGAACACAGTTGACTGACAGATGGATAGGACAGTATATATCCCACTCAGAAGAATCTTTCAGACTACATCACTCATCAACTTGGAGGTAAAACAATGTGGCAGAATAGTTACACATTTTTGTAAAGCCATGAATAGTTTTAATAATAAGTTGATTTTATACTGTATGTATGAATATGTTATGATTTATAAGAATGTGTGTAGTCTATTGTATATATCACCTTATATATAATCTAATATACAAATTAAAAAAAAAAAGATTTTCGTATTCTCTTAGGTTGGCAGGTAGCTGATGTAAAAAGGGGTAACTTAGGCTACTTGTTTTTTTTAGAAAAATTCTTTTATTTTACTAAAATAAGGTTAAAATCCACGCGAAGTCGCGGGAACAGCTAGTCTATACATATAAATAAAATTTGACTGTCTGTCTATTTGTTCCGGCTAATCTTTGAAATGGCTGGACCGATTTTAACGAGACGTTTTTTACAGGTAGCTGATGTAGTAAGGAGTAACTTAGGCTACTTTTATTTTAGAAACATAAAATTAAATTCCACGCGGACGAAGTCGCGAGAACAGCTAGTATATAAATAAGTCACATCTACCATTTCACTCATTTGTAATAGACATAGATAAAAAGATATTTTGATTTGAGACGTAACCTGTAATTTAGAACCATTTGTGCCCTTATAATGCTAAACACAATGATTTTGCATACCTTACCCTTTGTCTTATTTTGATTGGTAGGGCAGTAGTTTCATATCCTGAACATGATATTACTGATGTTCCTATCACAATGCTAAGGATGAGGACTGTCAGAAAACATTGTACAATACAATTATTTTCTTTTACAGTAGAAACAAATTCTTAATATAATAATAAATAACCCTAGAAGAGTGTGATCTATCACAAGTATTTAATTATGCTTACACACACAGATCCCAGCCCATACACACACACACACACACGCAAGGCTTAAGGAAATATATAAATAAGAATATGTGATTTTGATGAAAAATTTTGTAAAACATCTATGTTAATGAAATAAATTTTATTTTAATTTATTATTATTATTACTATAATATACAATCTACACTAAAAGGGATAGACTAGTGCTCTTGTGTTAGATGAATGATGATGATGAATATATATGACTTAGATTTACTCGGTGATGACAATACAACTCTCCTATATGGCCCATGTGTTTTACTTTTGTTTTAGATTATACAATTAGTTATTTGAATTTTATTTAGTATCTAGGTTTTGAATTTTTTTTTTATTGTACCAGTTATTACCCACTCAGTACCACATATCCCACTGTTTTAGGTTGACTGGAAGAGATATCTTCTAGGAATAAGTCCACCTTTGCTCACATTGTCTCTAAATTATAATATCTTTGTATTATCTGTGCAATAAAGAATATATATAAATATTTTCTGTACAACATTCTTACAGTGTTTGAGGTTATGTTATAACCTAACAAGAAAACACATGTAAGGTCAATTAAAAAATATGTGTATATGTAATTTATTCATTGTAAAGCCAAGAACAAAAACATCATCAGTGTAAACTTTATGATTAAGCTTATTTAAGTACTGTTATAGATGTTAAAATTTCATGTGTACAAAATACTGTATTTCTTATTTTGAATTTATTCTATAATTAAGAATTTATTTAGTGGTCTTGTGTTCTACATTATATTTGACTTTGTAATATAAAATAAATAAATAGAATTAGTCAGTATCCACATTTCTTTTAGCAATAATTTAATTCTATCTATTAGAATTATCGTTTTTCCTTCACCCATCTTCTGCTTCATTCATTTATCAATCAAATCCTTTTATTATTGGGCCACTATCACCCACATAGGGAGTTATGAATTCATTAGTATTGATCCTGACGATTTAACATTCATACAACATGTACCTCTTAATGAGAAGCCTGATGGAAACTCGTGATTCACACATAACAGTGAACTTGGTAGTTTTTATCTTTTAGATATAAATATCGAGAAACCACTATAAACAGAATCTTTATTTAATGTCTCTCTATCTATTTGTTTTGACCAAAAATCTGCTGAACAATCATAATGAAATTTAAAGTGAAGATTATGTCATGATGTCAGCGGTCAGACAGCTATCTTTTATAGTAAAAAGCAGCCGACTAAACTCAAAATTAAAGAAACTATTAAGGATTAACTTTATTAATAAATTTTACTTCCATTTGACAAACTAAACTTTTAATACTGAATTGTTTTGAACAATTATTTGCAGTGGTACCAACGGCAACAGTAGCCCACACCCGGGGTACATGTCGTGGGAACAAGATGTACTCGCGCCGCTGGCTGGCACGAAGAAACTATATGCAATGCAGGTAGACATTTTGAACTGGTATATATATACTTCTGTACTAATACTGGGTGACCCGGTAAATATTGTTTTGCTATGTGAATTAAAGTACTAATAACACTATTAGGAAATATGGGTTTATAGAAGGTTGAAATTTAATGTTGTATGCATTTTTTAATGCAGATAGTGTGTTTGTCTATTTGTTATCTGTTCTTAACGAAATGGCTGAACAGACGGACTAAATTTCCAATCCTCTTATATCAATAAAAAAAAAGGTAAAGTTTGTGTCCATGAAGTCATAAGTAACAGTGAGTTAACCATAAAATTTTTGTTAAAATATTAAATTACAATAATAATATTTACGCTAACCCAGGTGACAAGTTGGTGGTCGCAAGTAAAAACAGCCGGCTCCGCTATATACGCCAACCGTCACTATTTGGAGTTGCATCGTAAGCGGCTCAGCATCCCCGCTCCGTGCCAGATACTGCCAGATGTCTTCATCCATCCCACAGCTATCGTCGATAGCACTGCCGTGGTAAATTTAATTTTTATGTAATTGGAATGACAAACATGTTGATGGCCTGTCTGATGGTATGTGCTAACCTACGCCTGTATACATAATAGCATTACGTTAGCAGTACGATACAGTTTGCGTTGCTATTTTTGAAGACAGATCTCATGCTTCTTATATTGTAATTTCATTGTCTCATCGTTCACCGGAACATAGCTTATAAAGCAAACTGCTTGGTCGCATTATTTCGCCTTCGTTTATTTTATAAGTAAGACTGATGTATCCATGCAGAGGAGACGCTTTTACAAAGTCTACTTTGGTAACTCTAGTTTGACTAGATATGGTACTTTGCTATCTATAGTGTATAATTTCCTCCTGTATGTGTATATACCTTTCATATGCATTTAGGGAAAAGCTTTCAAATTTGATATTACAGGCACTTCGATTTTATTTTTTTGTATAGATAATAATCTATTATTTTATTTTGTAGATAGGTCCGAATGTGTCAATCGGCGCTGGAGTTATAATAAAAGCGGGCGTCAGGATCAAGGAGTCAATAGTACTGAACAACGCCACCATTAACGAGCATGCTCTGGTTATGTATTCTGTTGGTAAGTACACGATTAACTCTCATCTACTGGTTTTTATTACATTACTAGCTTTTATCCGCGCCTTCGCTCGCATGAATTCGTTACTGGCTGCTAGATGGCACTGAAGAAGAAAAAAATATATATTTTTATAAATAAAAAGTATCCTATGTTCATTCTAATAACTCCAAGAATGTGTGTTCAAAACTTCATGATGATCGGTTCAGTAGTTTTTGCATGAAAGTATAACAAACATCCCTACTTTCACATTTATAATATTAGTAAGAATAGTGAGATATAAATATCTAGTTGTTGCAAATGTAGTTATAATAATAATTTTGTTAAATTTGCGTACCCTAACAGGGTACCATATGGATCTAGATACTAATTATAAACATGTTTCATTGTAAACATTAAGGAATGCAATAAATATTGAGTATTGAATTATTCTAACCCATAATTGAGAATAGAGAGAATTAACTGCCACGACGGTGTAGTGTAGTACTTGGCCCCAAAGGAATACTACAGCAGGTACACCAGTGGAAGTAGAAGATGATGGAATGGTTGGTTCAGGTTGGTTATCACAAAGTTTGTAAGGGATATGTAATCTGGTTTGAACAATATTTATTTATTTGGGATATAGGAGACTGTTTACGGAGTTGCGTCGTTGTATATTTGTATCATAAACTAGCTGTTACTCGCGACTTTGTTTGCACAATGTTTAAACTCTATTTCAGTTACTTATAAAACTTTTTGTTTTTATAAGAAATGCCTGGCCCTCTAATCTATCTAATCTCTATCTATCTAATTTATCTTCTTATCTTTAAGTTGAATGGATCTTAACCATTCAACTGATAGGCGAAAAAAGATAATAAATTGACATGCAATCAGCAAAGGCGCTTCTAATACCCATTACTATCTTTTAATTATTAATCCCTTTTAATTATTAATTCAATTAATCCCTGTTAATTATTAATTCAATACAGTGGGTCAAGATGCATCTGTAGGCGAGTGGTCACGCGTTGAGGGAACGCCTTCAGACCCCGATCCCAACAAACCATTCGCCAAGATGGACAACACGCCTCTATTTAACTCTGATGGAAGACTCAACCCTTCTATCACTATATTAGGTAAGAATACCCGTAACACAAGATAGGCTTAGCTTGGGACTAAATAGCGCTGAGTGAATTGACCAGGATTATTAATATTATACATTTTTTTTATATAAGTTCAAAATTTATATATAATATTCCATTTCGTATCTTGTTCAGTTGGTTCAGTTTAACGAAAGAATGCATTCACCAGTAGAGGATGATAAAATGAATATGAAGTCAGGTCAGTTAGCTCACCTTGACAAAATTCCACGATGGTTTCGAGGAAGAACCACCTGAAGGTCCTGACATGGTACATTGTTAATAATGGGATTATTAGCCACATTACTATCGGTCTCCGTCCCCCAGTGGTAACTGTTGCCTATATACATGAACATCACTACAGATATCGCATTGTTATCCTCTAATTTCACGGCCTAATTTATTTGCCTGTAGGATGTACAATTGAAAAACAGCTTACAAGACGAGTTACTTGGCGGCTTAAATAGATGAGACTGAATCATGCATACGACATTTTAGCGTATACCGTTGAATACTGTTGTAAAATGGTCTCAATATTGTCGTTATAGCAAGCTGCGTATCAACTAGATTTATTTTCTGTCTGCTTATGTTTTTTTTGTAATTGGATGGCAAGTGAGCTCACGACGTTGATGATGACCGGTTAGTAATGGCAATTGTACATTGAACTTAAAAAAATATGATGAGACAGTGAAATTACAGAATAAGGCATGACATCTTAATCTTCTTAATTTTACCATGCAATACATAAGTGACGTCACGTGATAACGTGATGGCAATAGTACTGACTATTGTGTATATATCAGTTAGCATTTTTATCACTCCAATTATATAACAATTAACCTTATTTTTTTTGCAGGTGCCAGTGTAATAGTTCCAGCGGAGACCATCCTGTTAAATTCAATAGTATTGCCACATAAACATCTCACCAGAAGCTTCAAGCATGAAATAATATTATAGTGTTAATGACATTTGTTCCATTCTTTTTCATCCGCATGTAAGTTATATATGGTTCATGAGATTGGTAGGAAATGTGTATTTACATTAAATGTAATGTTTTATGTACTTGTATAGATTCTTGTTGCGTTTAAATACTGATATGGATTATTAGTGCGACGAAGTTGTCCTTCGCGCGATTGTCTCTGCAAGTCATTGTGGTCAAATCCTATTAAATTCGATTGTCTGACCAAACTTAATTATACTCATCTTAACATTCTTCTCTCGATGCACAATTTCTTATTCAATCATTAAGAGAATGTAACTGTTCACATCAAGTATGTATATTTTACAAAAAAACATGTTTTATACTAGTATTATGTTATGTTGTAATTCTTAAATTGTAATAAGAGTTATGATTATATTATGATGTAAAAAGACCAAAATATACCAAATAATAATTCTATTATACTGGAACTTTAGGGATACTGTACTGAACTGTAGATAAAAATCTCTGTATCTAAGGTTAGATTGACGATTCAATTAATTTGTACCCCTTTTATGTATTCTGTGTGCTGACACTGATAATAGTGACGATGATGGTTTCGTCTTAGTATAAGAGAAGAGCACAATGATGGTCTTAACCATCAACTCTAACCTTTGGTCATACCAAACTTGCCGTTATACTGTACCAATCTACTCACAATCCATCCTCTTCGACCTGCTACGCCTGGTCCAAGGTCGTCAGGGTACGTCCATGTTAGATACGCCGTTGATCCCACTGAAGGTAGGCCGAAGGTGGCCCGACGAGTTCCATACCTCATGATCCTGACAGGATGACGCTCTCCATGGCTCGCCTCTGTAGTCTAGTGTCCAATTCCAGTGTAGTGGCGCGGTTCAGTACTCATTGCTGTCCAGACCGATGAGCCCATAGTACTAAAATACACTAACACAACACAGTACTCTGTATTGAGATCTGGTTTTGCTGCAACGTCCAGGGAACCGGTGCCAAGAAGCATTTGGCCAAGGGCCACTGGAGCTTTCCCTTAAGTGTCATCGACATCGACTTACCCGGGAAAACTCTGTGCCCTACCACACAATGTTCATTACAAAGATCCCTAACAATCGCGACTACTAATGACCTGAAGACGTCACGTCACCGTCACCGTCACACCTCACGGTTATACTGGCCGAAAGGCGAGAGGTGCGCACCTCCTGCTTTTCGGCGTTTTCGCGCATCTCTCTCGAATCCTAACCTCCGCAAAGTCAAAGTTATATCAATGTTAGATACGCCATTTGGACCGCTAAAGGTCGCCGGTTGGCCTTGCCTATTATGTAAATCGAGATCCCTACTGAGGATGAATCCTTTCATTGCACGCCGTTCGAGTCATGCCCGCGCCCTGTGTAGTGGCGAGCCTCGGAAAACCACAGTGGTGAGTGGGCGTTACAGTCCAGAGCGATTAGAATCCTTCTTCCGCGAAGAACGTCGAATACTCTCTCCAGGTGGTGCAGGTGGCGGTCTATGTCGTCACCGTATTGTAAGTAGCCAGACACGATATATACGTGCCCTACCACACAATATTCATTACATAAATCCCTAACAATCGCGACTACTAATGACTTAAAGACAAGAATACCCGCCTTAGGGTTATCACCGACTCGTATGGCCGCAAGAGGACGGTCCGCGTCGGCCCAGGCTCTCGCGTATTGTTCTTGGACGAAAACAACATCGAGGCCCAGGTCTTCCGCTTTCGGCAGGACGAACAGCCGACCTTCCTTCCAGGCGTCCGGAAACACGCCCGTCTCTATGCACCGCGAGTACAGGTAGTGGAACTCGGCCGGAGCCGCAATCCATACCTGTTTAATTATACGCGATGAGAGGCCATCTATACCCGGTGCAGTGTTCGGTAGCACCTTGATGATGCTTGATGATGGAGAGAGGGGGTGCAGCGTCGCCCGAGGGTGTGAACGAAGCCACAGCGCGTACCTGCCGGTGGTAGTCCGTGTCCCCGGACACGTCGTCGTCGGGGCACAGGGCGTTCACCAGTGCGCGCATGGATCCGTCCACATCCCTCGCATGGCCCAGCAAACTTGGTGCCGTTTATTAAATTATTTGGGGGTCTGACCCTACCGCTAGCTACCCTGTAGGCCTGGCCCCAGGGGTCCTGGTTGCCAGCCCCAGCCAGTCGCATAAAATGATCCCGCTGCACCTCCTCCATTCGTCTTCGATAGCGCAGTCGTGCGCCATTATAGGCCGCTTAAGTGTTCAATTCTAAACTACCCCCACTGACTTTGGTCTTCTGCCAGGCCCTCCTTGATCTCGATGCAAGTCTACGAAGACGCTCCAGGTCCGGACTCCACCATTCATAGCCCAGTCCTCCTATCTCCTTCTCCTCGAGACATTCCCTGGCGCATCGCGTGATGATGCTGGTGAAGTCCTTGGCGAGTTCAGCCGGCTATTGGTAAGTGTCGAGGTCGCCCATTCTGTAGTGGATCTTCCGCCTGAAGAGTTCCCAGTCCACACGGCGGTCACGGTATCTCGGTGGATTTTTAATTGGCTCAGCGCACGACGCCGGTCGGCTGGCCGCACCGCCCACTGTGAAGGATATCATCCTGTGATCACTGACACTGACACTATCATTAACTAACCACCCCTCTAATCCTACCCCCCGCGAGGTCAGTGATATCTATGTTGGATTCGCCGTTTGGGCCGCTGAAGGTCGCCGGTTGGCCTTCCCTATTGTGTAGAACGAGATCCCTACCGAGGATGAATCCTTCCATTGCGCGTCGTTTGTGTTCCGAGTCGTGCCCGCGCCCTGTGTAGTGGCGAGCCTCGGAGAACCACAGAGGTGAATGGGCGTTACAGTCCAGAGCGATGAGGATCTCCTGCCCCAGCGCGCTGATGGTCGCCGTGTCACCCTTGTTGAGCTTGCTGCCCGGACCGGTAATCATCCCCATAATTAAAACCATGTTTCTCCGCGTCCTCTCCAGCAGCTCGAGCTTGGTGGCCGTCTCAAGGTTCACCTCCATGTCGGTTGCTCCTGACCGCGGCTGCTGCTGCTGCTGTGGCAGTGGCTGCTGCGGAGGCTGCGACGACTCTCGGCTCATATCTGCACCGGCGGCGGACGGGGTGCTCAGAAGCAGTCCCGCCACTGGGGGGGCGGAGCCAGCGGTTTGCCGAAAACTCTGCTTCCTTTTCTCCACAGCCGCCACCTTGCTGCGCTGGCCGACAATCGTCTCCGGCGACGTCAGCGGCCTCTTGCCGGCCGTCTTGCCGCCAGACGACGTACCCGACGCAGATGGTTTAGCAGCTCCGGCTTCGCCCCCATCGTTCCGATGCTGCCCAGGTGGCGGGGTCCTACAGATGGACCGTCGCGTCACGAATGGGCATTCGATGTCTGATTCCTCCATAATAATTCCTTACCTACTATGCTATTTACACTAGGAAGAAATAACACAACAAATAGGAACAGAAAACTAGAAACAATTTAGAAATGGAGGACGGAACAATTATTCTGGGGGGAACCTAAACTAGCTAATTTGGCACTAATTATTGAAGGAGGCAACACCGGAATCAGCAGGGATGCCAACCTACAACAATGTACCCTATGCTACGAAACGCCAAAGTCAATCTGACGGTGACAGATGACTTTGACGTTTCTTTGACGTTGGCACAGCGGCGGGCAATATCGCGGCTGTCAGTGCGACAGCCGTCAACCAACGACCGCGTGCGGACCACGTTCCTAACCTAAAAGTGAGAGCACGTGCTTATGTATCGGTATTTACAGTCGCAATTTGGGGATTTGAGCACTGTTTTGGGACCTATTCTAGCTAAGATTGTATGGGGACTAAATCTACAACTCACGATACTGTCCAGGAGTCATTACACGGCCACTGTGGTCCAATTACAATGTCACAAGTCAAACACAATTTACAGTTTCAATTTTCACCTCACTCGCAAACCCGAGGAAAAACGCGAAAAACAAATTTTAAACGCGCACCGGTTCGTGTAGTGGGGATAATAACAAGAAAAACGAAAAATGAGATTGGGGAAAAGCTCGTTTTCCCGAAAAAATATTGAATACTACGAGCGGAGCGGACACGTCCGTACGCACTGACGGCCGACACCGAAGTAGCTTGGCGAGGGCAACCTCCACCAACCCATGGCCATTCCAACCTCTCGGTTATACTGGCCGAATCTGCGGGGAATGCGCGCTGAAAAGCACGCATTCTCTTGACGCCTACAAATTATTTCAACTCCTGTCCCCTCTATCGCACTCTCCCCCTTCTGGGGCAGCGGACGAAACGTCGACAGCTTCGGTGCCGGGCAGCTCTTCGTCTTCAGCGGTGTCCTTCCTTCTTGAACGCGTACCACCAGCAGTCCTCTCGTACTCGCTCCGTCTCCGGTGCCACTGATGCGCGAACTCCCGCAGCCTCCTAAAATTCTCCTCTGTAGACACCAAGTCCGGGTAGTACACCGGACTCTCTCCTTCGCCTTCACCACGATGTATCCCCTCCAGCAGCTTCCCCCTGAGATCGGAATATAGGGAGCACTCCCACACAATGTGGTGGAGGTCCTCTTCCGATTCCCCGCAACCGCAGCCGCTCGACTCGTAGTCTCATGGCGTGCAGTCGCTTACCGAAGCAGCCGTGTCCAGTCAGGATCTGTGACGTCTCGTAATCGGGTTCAACCCACGGAGACGCCAACCTAATAGCCACATCCGGAAAGTATCGATAGAGCTCTCTTCCATCCGCGGAGGAGTGCCATCGCTCCTGCCATTCCCCGACTATATCGTCCCATGCCCCGCGTTTCCGTCTGCTCAACTCCGGCTTTGGCGCGGACTCGCGCTCCTCATCCATTCTGGCAGCACGGATTACCTCCAGGTCCGCAGGCAAGACCCCCCCAGTACTGGTAGCGCCGCCGTACTCACGCTCCTGTACGCTTTCGTAAGGAGGATGAGAGACGGTCGCTGCAGCCTCAGGACTATACTACGTACGACATGGAGACTGATTCTCTCATGCCATACGGGTGCAGCATACGTCAACGTGGCTATGTAAGTGCCCTTGT